CAGAAGTGGCCAAAGTTGGTGGGATGAGCCCAAAATCTGTTCAACGGATTCTCCACAGATTGGGTTATCAGACGAAAGAAGTGGGCAAGTGATATGATGACCAAGCCTCTGGACTTTTGGAAGACTGTATTGTTCTCAGACGAATCAAGATTCGCTCAATTTTCGGACAGTGGAAGGATATGGGTATGGAGAATGCCTCAGCAAGAGTTTTGGCTCAACAGATTGCATCCAACTGTGAAGCATGGTGATTTCAGCGTGATGGTTTGGGGCGCTGTTTGTGTTGGTGAGAGATCGAGCTTAGTGGAGTGTGTTGGCAACATAAATTTTGCGAAATAGGTTGAAATATTGGAGGAAGGACTCTTGCCACTTTATTCCTCGAGTTTCGTAGACAAGAACACAACGTTGTTCCAGGAAGATGGAGCACCGTGTCACACTGCTAGAAACACCCAAAAGTGGCAGGAAGAAAATGGTATCCAGAAGTTGCCCTGGCCGAGCCAATCTCCTGACATGAACCCCCATTAAAACCTCTGGCCATACTAGACTGGCAAGTAAAGAAACAACCAAAAAAACCAACTTCGAAGAGCGATCTACTCCAAGTTTTGAAGCAAGAGTGGGCGAAAATCCCACAATCTAAAATTGACGAGATGATTCTCATGATGCCCCAAAGGATCAACGAACTCCACGAAATGAAAGGAAGATCTACCATATATTAATTAAATTATAAATATATCAATTCATGTGAATATGACTGAAAAATTTCATTTTTTTCTCAAAAGGTGGTGTCTATTTACTTGTGACCACGCTGTGTATGTGTCAATCCATCTGTTGAGTGTTACTAACTTACTGGTACTACTAAATTAGTCTACTGTAAGTGTCAGTCCATCTGTTGAGAACTTACTGGTACTATTAAACGAATCTACTGTATGTGTCAGTCCATCTGTTAAGAGGGTTACTAACTTACTAGTACTACTAAACTAGTCTACTGTATGTGTCAGTCCATTTGTTGAGAGGATTACTAACTTACTAGTACTCGTACGTGCTTAAATGCAAAATAGAAAATAAAGTAATGGTGAAAAACTCACCAAATTAAAATAATTTTATTGGTTAAACACTAAAACGAATGTTTTAGGCAACAAGCCTTCATTAGGTTTCCAGTGAGAATGAAACCATTAATAGAAGAATTAGGGTGAAAGAACAAGTAAAACTATTTTGCATTTTGTTATTTCCTCACCATGCAATTATTTTATTGCTATTCATGTGTTGAGTTAGTTACTAGTACTATTAAACTAGATTTCATTACACATCAGTCCAGCTACTGAGTGAGCTACTAACTCAATAATACTGCTAAACTACCTGTTGAATATATTGAACTATAAGGGTTATCTTCCTGTTGAATTTATTGAACTACAAAAGTTACCTATATTTTAAACATACTGAACTATAAGGGTTATCTACCTGTTGAATTTATTGAACTACAAAGGTTACCTATATTTTAAACATACTGAACTATAAGGGTTATCTTCCTGTTGAATTTTTTGAACTACAAAGGTTATCTACGTGTTAAACATACTGAACTATAATGGTTATCTACCTGTTGAATTTACTGAACTACAAAGGTTACCTACATGTTAAACATACTGAACTATAAGGGTTATCTACCTGTTGAATTTATTGAACTACAAAGGTTACCTATATTTTAAACATACTGAACTATAAGGGTTATCTACCTGTTGAATTTATTGAACTACAAAGGTTATCTACGTGTTAAACATACTGAACTATAATGGTTATCTACCTGTTGAATTTACTGAACTACAAAGGTTATCTACGTGTTAATCATATTGAACTATAATGGTTATCTACCTGTTGAATTTACTGAACTACAAAAGTTATCTATGCATTCAACATACTGAACTATAATGGTTATCTACCTGTTGAATTTACTGAACTACAAAGGTTATCTACGTGTTA